TTCGCCCCTTTGCGAGCCACCGCGACCCCGAGCAGATCGAGATCTGAACGGGTCGGGGAGGGCTGATCAGGCAAAGTGCAGACAGCTGTGCCCATGTTTCGAACTGCCCCCTCAGCTGCGAGCAAGCTCGAAACGCCGAGGATTAGCGTTTCGAACTAGATGGCTACGGGTGCTGATACGGGTGATGATGATATGTGGGGAGGGAGGGGCGATGGGGAGAGGATGGGGGGACGCGCAGGGCGCTGTCTCGTCAAAGCGAGGACCCAATGCCACAGGATGGTTGGGCAACTATCCTGGCGAAAGACCCAGCCATATCCATCTGAGAGTAACGCAGTTGTGAAAATCGTCTTCGGTGGATGGAGCCCCCTATGGGGCCACGAAGCGCGTTGGGCGTGTGCTGGCATGGGTCGAGCGGGCGCATGTTGGCCTTCCCGCCAGGACTTTCGGTGGAGCTCCTTATGGGGCCACGAAGCGTGTGAGGGGTATGCCGGCGTGGGTCGGGCGGACGCATGTGGGCCCTTTCGCTGGGGGCCTTTCGGTGGAACTCCCTGCGTGGCCACGAAGCGTGTGCTGGGCGTGCATGCATGGGGCGGGTAGGCGCATGTGGACCCACCCGCTGGGGCCTTTCGGTGGAGCTCCCTATGAAGCCACGAGGCGTGTGAATATCATGCGGACGTGATGTCGGGCGGACGCACGTGGTTGTCGGGGGACCTCCCTGTGGGGCCCCGAAACGTGTGAGGGGTGGGCGGGACTGTGCCGGGTGGATGCATGTGGGCCCTCCCGCTCGGGCTTTCGACGGGGTTCCCTATCGCGCCACGGAACGTGTAAGGAGTTTACCGGCATGACGCATACGGATTTTCCCACTGGGGCCTTCGGTGGAGCTTCTTATGGGGCCACGAAGCGTTTGAGGGGTGTGCCGACATGGGTTGGGCGCACGCATGTGGAGCCTCCACTGGAGCGTTCGGTGGAGCTCCCTATGGGGCCACGAAGCGTGAGGGTTGTGCCGAACTTGGTCGGGCGGGCGCATGTGGACCCTTCCATTGGGGGTTTCGGTGGAGCTCCCTGTGGGGTCACGAAGCGTGTGAAGTGTGCTTTTCCTATGGGGCCACCGCGCGTCATCAGGAAATCCTCCGGGTTGAAACTCTCCAGAATGTCCTTCCCGCCACTACTACTACTACTACTACTACTACTACTACTACTAGACTACTACTACTACTACTACTACTAGACTACTACTACTACTACTACTACTACTACTACTACGACGACGACGACTACTACTACTACGACTACTATTAATCCTACAAGAACAACCACTATTACTACGGCGACTACTGACACTATTACTACTACTGCAACTACTACTACTACTACTACTACTACTACTACTACGGTCACTACTTCTACTAATACTACTACTAATACTGCTACTAGTGCAAATACTACCAGTGCTACAAGGACCAATTCTAACATTACTATCCACAACGCTGCTATAAATACACTACGATAGATAATGGTACTACCACTACTGCGACAACTACGATTTTAGTTATACGATTACTAAAACGATTGATATAGGTGTTCTAACCTATTCGTGCTAGTAGTTGCCTTATTGATACTAGTAGCGGTACGGATACGAATCATAAAACTAATGATATCTACGCCGACAACTGCTACGGCGACATCTACAGCTTCCCGCACACATTCTACAAATATTACCACCACTGGTAGGAATATTGATACTACTCATACAGCAAATACTACCACTACTACTACTACTACTACTACTACTACTAAAATTATCCCGGCAAAGCAACCTAACAGCGATATGTAGAAGCATATCTGAAAGCATTCCCCTTAAGATTCAGATGAAAATCCAGTTGTAGAATTCTGCTGTTCTCGCAGTCGTAGTCGCATTCGCGATGACAGTCGCAGCGGCAACGGCAGTCGCAGTCACAGCCTCAGCCTCAGCCTGCCTCAGCCTCAGCCTCAGCCTGCCTCAGCCTCAGCCTGCCTCAGCCTCAGCCTCAGCCTGCTTCAGCCTCAGCCTCAGTCTGCCTTCAGCCTCGGCCTCAGCCTCAGCCTGCCTCAGCCTCAGCCTGCATCAGCCTCAGCCTCAGCCTCAGCCTGCCTCAGCATCAGCCTGCTTCAGCCTCAGCCTCAGCCTGCCTCAGCCTCAGCCTCAGTCTGCTTCAGCCTCAGCCTCAGTCTGCCTTCAGCCTCGGCCTCAGCCTCAGCCTGCCTCAGCCTCAGCCTGCCTCGGCCGCAGCATCAGCCTGCCTCAGCATTCAAAATGTGGCCCAGGAATGGAGTTCTGGGAGCTAGAAGAACACGAAGTGGCCTACAGTTGGCTCCGGGCATTCAAAATCATGCCCAGGAATGGAGTTCTGGGAACCACGAAGGACAGTTGGCTCCGGGCAGTTCTGGGAAATCGAAGTGGCCTACAGATCCAAAATGTGGCCCGGGAATGGAGTTCTGGGAACTCGAAGAGCACGAAGTGGCCTACAGTTGGCTCCGGGCACTCAAAATGTAGCCCGGGAATGGAGTTCTGGGAGGTCGAAGAGCACGAAGTGTGTGACTGTTGACGAAAAACAAGCCCGGCTCTGTTCCCGGTTCTCCAGCATGTGGCCCGGGAGTGGAGTTCTGGGAGGTCGAAGAGCACGAAGTGTGTGACTGTTGGCGAAAAGCGAGCCCGGCTCTGTTCCCGGTTCTCCAGGATGTGGCCCGGGAGTGGAGTTCTGGGAGGTCGAAGAGCACGAAGTGTGTGACTGTTGGCGAAAAACGATTCCCGGTTCTCATCCCCGGCACCCGCCCAGACCCCCCTGTGGAGTCCAGATGCTCTCTTTTGACCCTACTAGAAACCTAGTAGCCAAAGCTGTTAGGTAAATACGACTACTGCTACTGTTACTGCTCCTGCGAGTGCTACTACGACTACTTCCACTGTGGTCACTACTACTACTACTACTACTACTACTACTACTACTACTACTACTACTACTACTACTACTACTACTACTACTACTACTACCACTACCACTACCACTACCACTACCACTACCACTACCACTACCACTACACTACCTACGACTACTACTACTACTACTACTACTACTACTACTACTACTACTACTACTACTACTACTACTACTACTACTACTACTACTACTACTACTACTACTACTACTACTACTACTACTACTACTACTACTACTACTACTACTACTACTACTACTACTACTACTACTACTACTACTACTACTACGTACTACGCTACTACTACTACTACTAGTACTACTACTACTACTACTACTACTACTACTACTACTACTACTACTACTACTACTACTACTACTACTACTACTACTACTACTACTACTACTACTACTACTACTACTACTACTACTACTACTACTACTACTACTACTACTACTACTACTACTACTACTACTACTACTACTACTACTACTACTACTACTACTACTACTACTACTACTACTACTACTACTACTACTACTACTACTACTACTACTACTACTACTACTACTACTACTACTACTACTACTACTACTAATACTAATTAGTAGTACTACTCCTGCTGCTGCTGCTACTACTACTACTACTACTACTACTACTATTGCTACGACTACGACTGACGTTACTATTTCTACCGCTACTACTACGATCATTGCGACTACTGCTGCAACTTCTGCGAGTGCTACTACTAGTATCACTAATACGTTTACTGCTGCTACTATTACTGCTACCACCACTATTACTAGTATTACCACCACTACGAGAACAACAACTACTACTACGACTACAACGACTACTACGACTACTACGACCACTGCTACTGCGACAACTAATACTACCTAATACCACGACGCGTCGGTTTAGTAAACGACAGCAATCCAAGCTGAAAGCTTCAACACATTAAAACCAACCCAGGCGTGCCACGATGCAAGACATCAATGAGCATTCTTCAAAATATGCAATGAATTTCGGCACCTATTCGACGTATCATTCATCAGTAAGAACAGCCAGAATTGGTCCAAATGTAAACCATACTTCGCTGGGAGACTGGCCCCAATGAGCCGGGATTGGTCCCAAATCGCCGGGATTGGTCCATGTACCCCTCCCACCCCCCCTCTGGCCCGCGAGATTCCTTCCGAAAGTCGGGGAAGATTTCAACCTTGCCCTCTCTCCCCGCCTCGCCACGTCGTCGTCGTCGTAATGCCGTCGTCGTCGTTGTCGTCGTCGGTGTCGTCGATGTCGTCGGTGGCGTCGGCGTCAGCGTCGGCGTCGTCGTCGTCGCCGCCGCCGCCGCAGCCGCCGCCGTCTTCGTCGTTGCCGCCGTCGTCGTCGTCGTCGTTGTCGTCGTCGTCATCGTCATCGTGGTCGTCGTGGTCATCCTCGTCCTCGCTGTCGTCTTCGTCGTCCTTTGCGAGCGAGTCTGTCGGTCGGTCGGTCGAATGGGCGAGCGGTCGTCGACGTCGTTGTCGTCGTGGTCCGGTCTTCGTCGTCGTCGTCGTTTGCTGGCGCCGTGGGGTGCGCCGGCGCCAGGGAGGAGAGGTGAACCCCCTCCTCCTCGTCCTCCTCTTCATTGCCTTTTCCGACTACTCATCGTCGGGCGGCGCACTCGTTGGAAGAGGAATCGTCGGAATCTAGAATCCACTTGCGACTGCATTCCAAACATCGCTGCCAGGAACCGAAAACACTGCTTCTCCATACCTCGAGCAGCAGCTCCATACGCAAAGGTATATGCACCACCACCGTGCCTGGCATGGTGTATACGCCCACCATCCTATGGCCCAGGGTGTCCCTGGCCAGGCACGGTGGTTTAGCGGAAAGAGCATGTTGGGGACCACCTTCAAGAAAAGGCTTCGGATATATATATATATATATATATATATATAGATGCTGTAGTGTAGAACGGCACCAACGCGCGAACGGCCACGCCAATCCCGCGCAATGATCTGCGCACAAGCTATGGCGGCCACCGGCCGGCTGTGTCCGTCCGCGACGGCTGGTATGTGGAAGAAGCCGTACGAGCCGCTGAAGTCCTGTAGGATGCCCCTGCCGAAAACATCGAGCAGAGAGGGGCGCAAGTCGTGACAAGTGTTGGAGGCCTGGAGATGGGCACCAGCACCAGCACAGGGGGTTGCCTCCACAGGGGGAGGATGATCCTCGATCTCGGTGCCGGTGGTAATGCTTCGGCCACCGTGGAAGCCAGGATATCACCACCGTCGCCGAAATCGGGATCTGCTTCCCTCGTGGAGGCACACCGCCGACATTGGTGTTGGTGTCAACCTCCAGGCCTGCGACACTGGACCCCTGGAGAGGCAGACAGCGACACAGACACTCGACTCTCGCAAGCGGCGCGGGTTTCCCGAGTGCGCGCCGGCCCCTCTGCCCCTGCCCTCCGCCTCCTCCTCCTCCTCCTCCCACCCCTCCCTCCCTCCCTCCCTCCCTCCCTCCCTCCCTCCCTCCCTCCCTCCTCCCTCCGCGGCGAGAGGAAGGGGGGGGGAAGCGAGGAGGAGGCCCTCTCAGAATCGGGGGCGCGCAAACGTGGATTAGCGATCCATGGATCTGGCGCGCGGTCGCCAAACCGATGGATCGGGGGAGGCGCCCTCCCCAAAGCGCGGCCGGTGCCGGCTCGCTCGGCGGCGGAAATCCGCGATTTCCCATGGAAACGGGACACGTCGCCGCCTCCTTAATCCATGTTTGCGATCGCTTGACAGAAGGCGCTGGGCCTTCTAAGAAGTTTCCGTCTTCGGGGAAAGCTCAGACAACTTCTCTAAGAAGGCTGGGGGACTTCCGAGCTCTCTGAGAAGGCCCGCTCCTTGCTAACCTCATTGTTCACATTATTGTCATGTTCCTTGCGTGTGACAGAAACTGTTGATAGCAACGTTTTGTGGTATTCGAGCTTCGCTTGATCAGTGGGAGGAGGATGAGTGGGGGAGGAAGAGGAAGAGAAGGACGAGGTGGCGAAGGAAGAGGAGCCGTAGAAGGACGGCCAAGAGGAGGGGTACAAATTCGTCGTCTTGGTCACCGTCCCCCTCATCCTCATCATTATTCTTGCCCCCCTCCTCGTCCTTTCCCGCCCCCCATTTTCGTCATCCTCATCATCCCCCCTCCCCTTGTCCTCCTCCTCCTCTTTTCCCTCCTCGTCCTCCTCCCTATCTTCCTCCCTTGTCCTCCTTCTGGCGATCCTCGTCGTTTTCCTCCGCCCCAGGGAGTGCAGTGGGAGCTGCATTAGAAGCTGTAGTACCAGGTGTAGAAGGAGCTGTACTGCTGGTTGTGGTAAAATCCGAAGTACGAGATGTAACAATCGCTGTAACAAGAACAGTGCTGAGACCTGCGGTGAGATCTCAGATGGGGGCTGCAGCGCTGGCTGCAACAAGAAATGTGGTGCGACCTGGTACAAGAAATGTAATGGGAGCCAATCGTAAACTTTGTAATGAGAGCTGTGCGACCGATGAAAATAATATCCACCATGGGAGCTGTCGTGATGGCTGCGTCAAGAAACTTTTGTTGGAATGTATCAAGATATGCAGAAGACATTGTAGTAGGAACTGTAATGAGAGCTGTATGACTGGCTGCCCGAGGAGCAGCATCGGGAGCTGCATAGGGATATGCACTGTCAGCTGCAGTAAGGTCTATGCTACTAATTGCAAGTGGAAGTTGAGCGTGAGCCTTTGTAGGGACTGTGCTCCACTCTGTGTCTGGCTGTTGCGTACATTGCAGTAAGCACTGAACTAATACTTTGATGTGCAATGTTTGTAGTAGAGGGTGCAGCAAGGGTTGTAGTGAGAGCTGTGCTGGTGGCTGCGTCTACAAGCTGATGTTGAAACTGCGCCAGGATCTGTACACGGAGGCGCTGTAGGGGTTGTAGTCAGAGCTCGACTGAAAACTATAAAGGGAGCAACTGTTACTGGCTGCAAACGGAGCTTGTCTACGGCCGTGTGTCGGAGCTGTAGTGGGGGGCAGTAGTAATATCTGCATTGGGAGCTGTATCATTGGCTGGAATAGAGGCTTTAACAATGGATGTGCTCGTGGCTGTGTCAAGGCGTTTGTGTGCGAGCTGCATTAATATATGCAATGGTCGTTGCAGTAGGAACTTCAATGACAACTTTACTAACAACTTCACTAGAAACTGTATGCGGAGCCGCACTGGATGATGCGTTGAGATCTGCAATCAGTTATGCACTACTGTTTGTGGTTCCGTGATGACTCGGCTCTTTCGGAAGATCAATGCTGGACGCTTGCGTCGGATCAATACTGGCTGTGGGAATTGCACCACCAGCTGGAATTGCAACACCACCACAAGCTGTTGCCAGGGCTGCGGCAAGAGTTGTATTGAACGTTGCATTAGCGGTTGTAGTGGGAACTTCTAGGAGTTGTAGTGGGAATTTTGGTAGGAGCTGTACTGAAAGCTGAATTGGGGAGGGAGCGGTCTTGAAACCTGAAACATGGGTTGTCGTAAGAGCCGTAGCGGGAGTTGTTTGCCTGGCTGCAGCAGGAATTTCAGTGAGACCTGTTGTGGAATGTGGCCGCGCTGTGGAAGAAACTGCAATAGGATCGGAAATCGTATCTGTGGTACGGGCTGTCGTGCGAGCTGCGGGGGCAGTGGTACTAGCTGGCACGCGAACTTTAGCAAGAACTCTGGTATGAACTGAAAGATGTGCTACCATCAGCAACAATATTCGCAACAAGAACTGTCGTGAAGGCTGCCGTAAGGATTGTGGTGGGAGCTGCGGGGGGCGCGGCACCACCGGCTGAAGTCGGAGACGAAGTATGGTCTCTCTGCCAGCCCACGTAGGGGGGCTGCATTACGAGCTGCAACGGGACCGTACTAATGGCTCTAACACAATGGAGGCCCGTCCACAAGAAGCCTTCCACAAGAAATCCAACCCTGAGACTCCAGGGCGTCCACTGATTTTTGGTGTGGGAGCGTCGCGCTTTCCATAGCAAAACCATCGAAACCCAAGAAACCCAGGGCACCCTGGTGGCAAGCAGGGTGTTTCTTGGCATGGGCCCCCACTGTACGAGCTTTGGCGAGAGCTGGGCGATTGTCTGTGTTAGGGGACTGTGTCACAAGAGCTGCAAGCATAGGTGCGGCACGCTGTGTAGTAGGAGGTGCAATGGGAGCTTGGCTACTTGCCGTGGAGGGAATGCCAATCCGCATTGCACTCGGAAATGTACTTGGAGGTGTAATCTTAACCGTCGTAGGGGCTGTGGTGGGATTGGCATTGGAAACTGTACAAATTCCTGCTACCGCATTTGCAATAGGACCTGTAATAGAGCTGCGTTGCTGCTGGTGGTAAAATTCGCCGTGGGACGTGTAATGAACGATATCAGAGAGCTGCAGTATAAACAATAGCAGGATCTGTATCACTAGCCTTGTTAGGAGCTGTATGGTGAACTGTAACGAATTCTGTGTTACTGGGTGTAGGATGGGTTGTAGTAGAGGCTGTACTGTGAGCTGCCTGAAAACTCTACTACCGATTGTAGCAAGAGCTGCAACAAGGCGGGGCATACGAAGAACAGGGACGGAAACGGAAGAGAAGAAAGATCATGCAAACAAGCGATAGATGGAGTGTGGGGGGGGCGACGGAATAAGAGGAGAAGAAGGAATCACCGAACACAAGGCAACATCTATGATCACCTGGGGGACGAACATCTCTAGATGTATGTATGTATGTATGTATGTATGTATGTATGTATGTATGTGTGTATGTGTGTATGTATGTATGTATGTATGTATGTGTATATATATATATCCGAAACAGTGCTTGCACTTGGGGTCTTACTTCTGTTGTATGGAATTGGGCCGGCTCGTCGGTCTGGCGGGCTGTGTGGCCGTCGTGGCCGCCCCGTCGCCGCCTCGTCGCCGCCTGTCGTCTGGGCCGTGTCTTCGGTCTGGCGGCTGTGTGGCCGCCGTCGCCGCCCAGTCGCCGCCTCGTCGCCGCCTGTCGTCTGGGCTTGTCCGTTGGTCTGGCGATTATGTGGCCGCCGTCACCGTCCCGTCGCCGCCTCCTCGTCGCTGTCAAGCGTACTTGCACCGCATAGTTTGCAACACATAGCTTGCATAACATAGATCGCACTGCGTCTATTGTACCACCTAGATCGGACACCATATATGGCAACACGTATATCGCACCGCGAAAAAAAACACGATCTATAGAACCGAACAAATTGCTCCACATAGATTGAACCACATATACTGCACTACGTAGATCGCACAACATATATCGCACAACAGACATTGCACAACAGATTTTGCACCGCGTATATTGTGCAAAGTAGATCGCGCCCCATATATATATATATATATATATATATATATATCATCGCATTCGCTGCACCGCACACATTCTCCTTTACCCAAAAAAACGCGACCCCCCGGGACCATCCGCCCCCTCTCGTATTGCCATGTACATTCGATTCTGCCCCATCCTCCATCCTAAATGTGAACTTTCGCCATCCCAAAGGGGGGCTGATATCCGCCCACACCGCCATCACCTGCAACATATTCTATGCGTGCGCACTCGCGTATCACAAATTATGACTCGGACTCGGACTCGGACTCGGACCTGCAAGGTGCACGCCGGCGGGGGCGCTGCAGGCGGGCGCCATGGCGCCATTGTGTGACACGAGCGTGGCCGCGGGCTCAGCACCGGTTGGCGGTGGCATGAACGCGTGATGCTGTATGGCAGGGGAAGGACGCACGAAAGGAGAGAGGGACGCACGACAAGCGAGGACGAGAGGCGAGGCCGAGGGAGGGAGGGGGAGGGACGAGCGACAGGAGGGACGACGGAGGAAACGCGAGGGAGGGAATTCAAACAGTGCTATGAAAAAATGCACAAATTATGAATTTCCAAAAATGCCCTGCAAGAAACTGAGTGAAGTGCACACGCGCGCGTTGTCGCACGCGCGTGCCGACATCCTTTAATAACCTGCGGTTTCGTAAGGGTTCCACGGCCGAATTTCCAAAGCACCTATACAAGCACATGGTTTCGCAACGCGTAATTACAAAAGAAACTTGCGAAAGCGCTCTTGTGAATTCTTAGTTTCCTCATTTTCATAACATGTTCCCAAACGGGCTTCGTGCGCGCATGTCGGAGTCGTTCGAATACCCTTGCGCGCGTGCCGTCGCTAGAACCGTTTTGGCAAAAAGCAGGACGAAGTGCACACGCGCGCGTCGTCGCGCGTGCATGCCGAAATCCGTCAAGCACCGTCGGTTTCGTGGCGATTTGAAGCCGAGCGTTTCAAACACACATCAAACCACAAGGTTTCGCCACATGAATTTTCACAAAAATGCGTGCGCTCGGGCTCTTGCGGGTTCTTCCGACAACGAAACGGTTTCTCATCATTTTCATGGAATTCTGCCAAGCGGGCCTCTGGCGCCGCATGCCGAGATCATTCGCGCGCAATTGCGCGCGTGCCAAAGATCCGTGTCAAAGGACACATACAAGCCACTCTCGCGCGTCGGCCGCGCGCGTATACCAAATTCTGTCCAAAACCTTCATCACCGACGCGAGGACGCTGTCATCGTCGTCGGCGTGATCAGCATCGGCGCCCGCACTGGCCGCGCCGTCGTCGTTGTCAACATCGTCACCAGCCTCGCCACTATTATCATCGTCTTCCGTGGCCGGCATTGCCATGATACCATGCCCGCCCACGTCGCCGACTCGCATTGACGTGCCTGGTGGGATGTGCCAAGCGGTCACCGCCACCGCGGCCGCGTCGGTCGCGCCAAACTAGCTGGCCGGTGCGCGCGCGTGCTTGGGTCGGCGCGGCCGCAGAGATGGACCAGCCAACGCCAAGCACTCATCGCAATCGACACCGCATGCGTCTTGCACGCCAAGTTGTGGGTGGGTGGGTGGGATGATTGCGAGCAGTGGAGTTGACAACTCACTGCGAAGAGAAACTAATTGCACCACATAGATTGCACCACGTATATTGCTCCACATATATCGATTGCACCACATCTATGACTAGAAGCACACTGTTTCGGGTCCAATGTGCGGGGGGTTGTCCCTCTCTCCCTCTTCTCGTTTCGCTGTCCCTGCATCTGCCTCTGGTTCCACCTGGCCCTCACTGACATCATGCTTCTCCGCTTGACACCCTGAGCTCTGAAGCGCCTTATCTCCTGAAATCGTTTTGCGAGGCCCCTCGGGCGCGGACTCCTTTGGATTATCCAGGCATGTGAAGACACTCCTGGGCATCCACGTGTGACCCCCACCCCTACTGCCTATCGATTGAAGACCTGCAAGAGTTCACCAAACGGGAGGTGACCTTGCTCGGGCCCGCTCGCAATCTCTAAACCCCGACCGGTGAACCCCAGCTGGTCTTGACCGATGCGCATTGGGGGTAGGACGACATGTGGCTGCGTAGCCCCCCTCTGCAAGCACACACGCCCAAACGGGGAATCTAAAATGCAACAGAGGCCTTTCAACCACAACCCCAGCACGGTGGCGGGAACGGCCGCAGGCCACAAGGCTCCCTGTCTGTCTCTGCTACGACTCCCTCTGCCCACATGGGGAACATCTCTTTCGCCTTCTCCTGCTCCCTTCTACCTTAATCCACCTCATCCTCCTCCTCCTCCTCCTCCTCCTCCTCCTCCTCGTATTCGTCGTCGTCGTCTTGAGGGTCGGCGGCACTGGCCGCAAGGCCTTAGCAATCTAAAACGCAACGACCGATTCTTTCTGGCACTCAGAGCGCAGATCTGCCGACCTGCCTCCCCCGATCCCTGGCCGACCAGCTGCTTCGAGAGGCGGGCCGTCCTGCAGGCCCTCGACGACGGGGCTTCGCTCCGACAGCACCCAGCAGGGCAGCTCTGCGTCCAGGCAGTCGCACAAGATGCGCTCCAAAATCACCTCCTGGGCTCAGCGGCAGTCCCCATCTTCGCCGGGCCCCCCTAGAAAATCAGATGCCCGCATGAACTTGCGGAGATCCGCGCGGATTTCTCGGGTCGGAGATAGACATCCCCCGTCAAACGGAACACATCAGGGAGTGTCATCGCCGGAGGCGCCACAGGGAGGGGGGCCAGCGCCGACCTAAGAAATCCCGCGTGGACCTCCAACAGTTGACGTTTGTGAAATTGGTCTTGTTGTTGTTGCTGTGGAATGTCAATTACTAAACAATTGTTATTGTTGGACCCCTTATAGGCGCCCTGGCGCTCTCACCGAGGCGCCGGCGACATTTTCATTGAGAATGAGGCTCACGCTCGAGCGGTTTGGGGGACCGCCAAAACCGGCCCCCCAATAACAACAACGCTCCCGCTCGAGACTTCTGTTTGATTGCGGGGGCGATCCATGGCAGAGCGGGACGGCGCCGAGCTTCGCCGCGGCCCTCGGCAGCACCGCCCACACGTTGCCGAACCGGCGCTTACCTCCCACAGCAGAGATCCACGAGGACGAGCATTGACTGCTCGAACGAGAAGTGCCAAGAGAGCAAGAAAGACGCGCGGACGCTGCAGATTACGGCGAAAGTCGCAGAGAGAGCCCAGAGGCAGCGCACAGGCTATTTTCGCGGCTACACCTTCGGGCCAGCTGGCGGGCGCCAAATATTTGAGAATGCAGGAATCCACCTGCTGAGTCCGTGGGAATTCCTCGCGCGCTGGACGCGCCGCAGATTGCCGCGGCTGCACAAAGATGCGGACGGCGCACATCACAGCCTCAGCACGCGGCTGGAACCACCGGGCCCAGACGACCCGTGCGACGAGGACCGCCTTCGGACCGAAACCTGAACCGGGGCGTCCCGCGGCGCTCTTCTATCCGATCATCGGCGACGAGAATCGAGATTTCCAGCTGCGGGGAAAGCAATACATAACGACACACGAACGGCCCACGACGCCCGCTCCGACCAACGTGCTCATGCCAGACAGGCAGCCCACGAAGCGGGACAAGGCCAGAGCGCGTTCGGTGTATCTGCGTCCTTGGACACTGGACCGCAAACATGCGACCTCGGAGACGTTGCACGTCGTCGACCTGGACCAAGCAAATTTCGCTGGCGACGACCCTGCACGCAGTGGAGAAGCCACGGAAACGACGAAAATCCTCGAAGTCCAAAACGGCCGCGCTGGTCGTTGACTACCCTCTCGCGCGGCGAACCCACATCCTGGGCAACGTCGCGTCCGAGAACGTGGCGAGGATCATCGCGCAGTTCATGGCCGCATGCTGCGGAACACCAAAGGAGCGCGACGAGCGCGACGCGCGCGCCAAGAACGGCGAGGGCAAGCCGCAGAACGCGCTGGACCAGAAGCTGGCGCTGCAGGGGCCGCATTAGATATTGAACACGATGTCTGCAGGCCTGGAGGAGGAGGGCAAGGAGAGAGCACGCGGCGCTGAGGTTGACAGAGAGAAGAAGCAACTGATCGTCGCAGACGACGACCTCGACGAGGCGAGCCTGAATCGGCTGCACCCGGGCACCGTGATCGAGGGCGCGCAGCTCACGGCGAGACTGCGGTCTCGGGGCGCGCGCCCATGGCCCGCGGATGCGCTGAAGGCAGCCCCTAGCAGATCCCATCGAATGCCCGGCCACGCCATGAACGCGAACTGGCAGAAGCAGGGTGCCCAGAAGAAAAAGAATCCGCAGATGGAGGCGCACGTAGAGTTGAGAGAAGCTACCGAACAAGGACCAAAAGGACTTCCTGTCGCGCGCGGTGGATCGGTGCAAACAGGAGCATCGCAGCCTTCGGGATAATGTCTCTCGCCGAGGAACCAAAAAGAAGTGGCACATGAAGGGCGAGCCTCTGAGACGACGTCTCATGGGCATTCCTGGCGCGAGCAGATCCACGTGCATCGAGTACCTGAGACGTCTGTTCGAGGAATGGCCAGCATGGGAAGACGGCATCGAGTCCAAATTTCTGGCGTCGCAAAACACGACGGCAGCGCACATAAGATGCCAGACGATCAACTCCCGGGAAAACACACCTATCAATTAATTCCACATAAGCCAACGAAAAAGTGGGAGCAAAGGGAGCGGGCGGGGACGTAGACGCGCAAGCTCAGAAGGCTTTGGGCATACGATGGATCGTGGTCGATGAGATCAACACGGTGCCACCGTCGCTTTTCGGCCTGCTCGATTCGCACACGCGAAGAGAGTGTCGGCGACATCCTCATGCGCACCGTGGACGATGGCAACGCCAGTTCGGGGCCATCAACGCGGCGTTGCCGGGGGACTTGTCGCAACTGCCGCCAGTCAAGCAGATCTCCATGCGCGCGAATCCGTTCGCCGCTGAGACGTTAACAGAGGAACAGAGGGCGCTGAAGTCGTTTCGGGTTCAGAAGTATCACGACGCGTGGCCGCGCGAAGACCTGCTCCAGGTGCTTCCTCATGTCGATTCTGGCCACCTGCAGGTGCACTCGCAAGACGCACTTTAAGCAGTCTTGCCAGATCGGATACGTCGCAAACTCCTAAGCCTTCACGTTCTTCTTCAGGGACCCAAGGACACTCTGCCAGGGCATTCGGTAACTGACGCAGCCGCCTCTGACCACGGTCCGAGTCTTCTGGTTCAGCAGATCCTCGTTCAGCAGATGCCCATGGCCACCCTCTACGCAATGGATCAGAATGTTTGTCCAAGACCGCGATTCTGCGGCAGCCTCCAGCCATCTCACTTTGTGTCGCGCAATGGTGTCCGCGGTGCACCAGGCGAAAGTGTCGCTCGTCAAAGCCATGGGAATTATGTGATTGTCCTTCTCGCATCTGTCCACAAGCCCTGACGCATCGGAACGCGGCAATTGCCGCGCAGAGCGCGCGGCCGGTTACTTGGAGGGCCCGACGTGGCATCTTCGGAGGAACAAGATGTTCAAGGGGCGTTTCCCGTCTGTGGGCCGAAATTCCCGCTGTCATTCGTAATTGCCCGCGTCGCATTGATTCGCATTATGAAGTGGGCGTTCCCAATTGCCAGGGCGGCTCTGCGCGCGCCGCTGTTTGCGCGTATCCATCCCAAAATTGTCGTCAAACGTGTCAGGGTCTCTTTCTTGTGCGTCCTCCAGAGGCTTGCCTCCGCGCTCATCATGCGAATGTCGTTGCATGCCGCCCAGGACTGCCGCCTCTGGTGTTTGCGCTAGTCGGAGCAATCATGCGCGCGCCCCCAGTTCCTCGCGTGAGTGCGTACCTGGGCGCAGCAGAAGCGCATGTAGCTCCTGATGACGTCGCCGCGCACCGCCTCGGCAACCTGCGACAGCTGGCGCCCGTCGATGGGCAGTCCAATGTAGGGCGCACCCTCTTGCTCACGCTTCCCGTTCGCGGCGGCGCAGCGCGCCGCGGCATCCAAACTGACGCCCGCGAAGCGCTGCCGCCGAAGATTATGCGGGGGGGGGGCCCGTGATTCACAGAACCCCCTGAACGAGGTCCCTGGAATCCGCCCACTCTCTCCGGCCCCCTTTCGCCCCCCGAGCTGCTGCGCCAATCCTTCGGGGAAACGCAATGCGCAATGACGTCGTCGACAACGATGGCCAACGACTTTTCCAGGGCAACCATTGCTTCCAAGGGCCCTTGAAGTCAAGGACAAATTCTTGACCAAAAAAGTTTGGGTTGGGCCAAGCGCACGGATGCCACGTGCCCTGACATTGTGATCTGCCGCAGGCCACGCCTCCTCCGGGACGCGCGCCATCTCGTGGTTGACGTGCGCGTTCTCTCTCAAGCGTGCGCAAAGCAGCATCTGCAGCAGGCCTTTTGGCGTCGCCGTGTCTCCGAATACCTTCCCGAACTTTGGGTCTTCTCCCTCTGGCGGGAGCAATGGGCGATCGCGCAGGTGGGGGGCGATGCTATCTGCGACGCCCGCGCCCCCGCCCTCGCCCGCGCGCGGCTCGTCGACGACGCTCGCTTCCACGCGGGGCAAGTCCGGAGCCCGAGTCGTCGCTCGCGTCGATGAAGTCGTCGACGCCGTCGTCCTCGCCGCCGCCTTGGACGTCGTCGCCGCCGTTCACGTCGCTGAAATCGTCGACACCATCGCACTCGCCGCCGCCCTGGGCGTTGTCGCCACCGCCCTCGATCATGGGATCTCCGTCGGCAGGCGTGGCCGATGCGACCCGGGCGTCAGCGGCGCCTGGGCCATCTTCAGATTCTCCGACGCCCTGCGCCTTCAGCGGCAAAAAGACGTCGTCGCCGCCCGAATTTCCAAGTCCTTCTGGCGCTTGCCCTTGTGACTCGTCCTCTGTCTGGATGCCCGACTCGTCGCCCTCTAGAGATCCTTCCATCTCTGAGTTGGTGCTGTTGCTAGAGCTGGCATCGTCAGACTCAGCGGATGACGGGCGCCCCGTGCAGCGGGGCATCTCAGCGTCGGCTTGCCCGCCCCAGTCGTCGCGCCCGCCCTCGCCCGCCCCCTCTACTCCCTGGCGGAGCTGCCGCGCCTCGGCTTCGGCCCTCACGCGCGAGAAGTTCCCGCGCCCCATGCCCAGAGGAATGTCCGCGTGAGCGCGGTCCTCGAGAACGCAAGTCATCGCGGCGGCATCCTCCTCAGAGCAGCACATCGCGTCGGTGGCCTCTCGCCCCATCGTGCAATCAGCCCGTTCTCCTCCGCGCCCTCCACGCGGCAATGCGGCGGTCGCGCGGCAGCCGCAGCGCGCCCCCAAGCGCGCGAGCTCCAGCGCCGACAACAGCGCAGAGCACGCCATGCTGCCTGGGTGGCGAGAGGCCGAGATAGCTCCTGAGAAGAAGACCCAGAGCGGGCGTCGCGCAGAGCTCGTAGTGTTCGCAGGGCCGTGCCGAAGGGCGCCCCCTGCCTGGCCGACTTTCCCTCGCTGCGCAGATGGCCCAGAGCATCAGTGGTGGTCTCCGTCGCGCCACGGTCTTCCACGTGAAAGAACCGCGTCGGGTTGACCGTCGCCTTCGGGAAGAGGGCAGCGTGCTTCGTCGGCCCAGGGCTGCCTGAAACTCGGCGCAGGATCTGGAAACTGCACTCGCGCCCCTTCTTGCCTGCGCAACGAAAATCGTCGGGCGGCGGCCCCAGGAAGTCCGCGTCGCCCCCAGTGCTAGCGTTGCCCAACATCTCCGCCAGCGGTGGCGCCGATTCCCGCTCGTTCGCCTCGGTGAAAAAACTCGGCGAAACATTCGAAGTCGCTCTCGGCGGAGATCACAGCCGCTTCGGCGTTCTCCCTCTGCCTCGCGTAGGCCAGCGCCTCTTCCTGAGCGGCCCGCGGCAGATGACGTCGAACGTGCTCGCTATCCCGATTGCCGCGATCGAACTTCACGGCGTCGCCCCACGCCGCGCGAGACCAACTCCCCGACATCGGGTGGGCGAGACTTGGGGCCGCGGCGTCGAGATTCGCAATCTCGCGCGGGGGGCTCTGCGCGAGCATGTCTCGGACATCCGCGCGACGCAGCTCGACGGCCCCGTTTGCGCCGAGAAATGATTCTCCCTAGGCGGCGCGCAGAGCGCGAGCTCCGTTGCCGTTGGTTCTCCATTCGCAGCGTGCTGGGCGGCTGAGGAAAGGCTGGGGGGCTGCTCTTCCCGCGGGCAGGCCGCTCGCGTCGGCGGCAGCGGGGCGCGCGCCCCCGCGCGATGGCGCGCTGCTGTGCTTATCGGCCGCGCCGCAGCGCCGCCAGATTCTCCGCTCGCCGCGGCCGCGTCGACCATCGCGACGCCTTCGAGACATTCGCTGGCGCTCCTCTGGGCGCCCAAGCGGGGCGATCCAGCGGCGGGCGAGCCAGGAATGGCCATGCGCTGCCTCGCAATCGACCTGCCCCCGACAACGCCGCGCGCTTGGGGCCCGAGAGAACGCGGGCCCGAGCGCGCCAGCGGGCGCGCGAAGTGAAAACGGAAAACCGCGAGAAACTCACGGAAACGAAGCTCCTTCGCCCGCGAGGCCACATCCGCCCCCCCGCGAGCGTTCCTCGAATCGCGCGCAGGCAGCTTCGGGGAACGCGTTCCAATGGCATCTTCAACCTCGAGCGAGCACGTTGCGGCGAATCGCGAATGCGTTCCCGACAGAACAACCTGGCGCATATGAGCGACGGAATGTGCGTCGACGCGCTGCCGTCTCCAACGCGGCCACGACAACTTCCCAAGCGCCGTTCCCCTGACCGCGCGCGGGCGGCGCCGGGGAACAAATGCCGGCGGCGCGCCCAACGTTGGGCGAGCAGGCTTTGGCGGAGATCCAATGCGTTCCCGGCGGCAACTATCTCAGCGCCGTTCCCCGAACCACGTCAGCGCGGCTTCGCGGAGCGCATGCCAGCGGCGCGGCGGGCGTCGGGCGAGCGGGCTGCGGCGGAAACCTGGCGCGTCCCCAAAGACAACCTAACATATCTGAGCGACGGCCCACGACAGCCACAACTGGCCCGAAAAAGCCGCGCGAAGCCCGGCGCGCCCCGAGAGGCCTCCGCGACGCCTCCAAGAAGCCTGCGAGCCGATTTGCGAGGCATCCGAAATAACCCCCCGGGCAAAGCCTCTGAGTCCTCATGTCTTCTTCCTCGCGTCTTCCTCGCGTCAATATTATGACCTATACGATCACCCTGCGGGCGATGCGGAGGTTGGGGGGGGGGGAGGGGGCCAGCAATGGGCAACAGTGGTGATTCTTGTTCTGACGATGCCACTGGAGATTGTTGCGTTGCCGCTCGCTCTTGGGAGCTTCGGCGTCGAATTCTTTACGTCGCCCTTCGCTCTTGGGCGCCTTGGTGCCATCCCCCCCCCCCCACCCACCGCACTGGGAACTAACGGAATAAACATTATTTCGCTAATTACCTAACAGCGTAGACTGATAGGTTTCTAGTTGACTCAAAAGAGCTCACAGATCACTCCACAGGGGGGTCCGGGCAGGCGTTGGGAGTTGCCGGCCGGGCCTGTGCCGGGCTCGTTTTTCACCAACAGTCACACACTTCGTGCTCGTCGACCTCTCAGAACCCCATTCCCAGGCCACATTCTGAATAACCGGATGCAACAGTCACACACTTGGTGCTCCTTGACCTCCCAGAACGCCATTCCCGGGCCACATTCGGAATAGCCGGACGCAACAGTCAGACAATTCCTCGTACTTGACACCCCAGAACTCCATTCCCGGGCCACATTCTGATTAACGGGATGCAACAGTCACACATTTCGAGCTCTTTGGCATCCCAGAACCTCATTCCCAGGCCACATTCGGAATAACAGGATGCAAGAGTCACACACTTCGTGCTCCGAGACCTCCCAGAACGCCATTCCCAAGCTACATTTGGAAAAATCGCACACAACAGGTATACACGCCGGGCTATCTGGCTGTCTGGAACGGCAATCCCGGGATACATTCAGAGTAATCCCGCGCGACAGTTTAGATATTTACCTAACATCGAAGACTGATAGGTTTCTAGTGGGGTATAAAGAGAGAGCAGCACATTACTTCAACATTACTTCAACATTACTCCACAGGGGGGTCTGGGCAGCCGTTGGGGGCAGTTGGGTGGCAGTTGGGGGGCCGTTGGGGTTTGCCGGGGGGGATCGTTTTTCGCATACAGTCACACACTTCGTGCTTTTCGATTTCCCAGAACTCCATTCCCGGGCCACATTTTGGAATGCCCGGAGCCAACTGTAGGCCACTTCGTGCTCTTCGATTCCCAGAACTCCATTCCCGGGCCACATTTTGGATGCCCGGAGCCAACTGTAGGCCACTTCGTGCTCTTCGATTCCCAGAACTCCATTCCCGGGCCACATTTTGGATGCCCGGAGCCAACTGTAGGCCACTTCGTGCTCTTCGAGTTCCCAGAACTCCATTCCCGGGCCACATTTTGAATGCCCGGAGCCAACTGTAGGCCACTTCGTGTCTTCGAGTTCCCAGAACTCCATTCCTGGGCATGATTTTGAATGCCCGGAGCCAACTGTAGGCCACTTCGTGTTCTTCGAGTTCCCAGAACTCCATTCCCGGGCCACATTTTGAATGCTGAGGCAGGCTGATGCTGAGGCTGAGGCAGGCTGAGGCTGAGGCAGGCTGAGGCTGAGGCCGAGGCTGAAGGCAGACTGAGGCTGAGGCTGAAGCAGGCTGAGGCTGAGGCTGAGGCAGGCTGAGGCTGAGGCTGAGGCAGGCTGATGCTGAGGCAGGCTGAGGCTGAGGCTGAGGCTGATGCAGGCTGAGGCTGAGGCAGGCTGAGGCTGAGGCCGAGGCTGAAGGCAGACTGAGGCTGAGGCTGAGGCAGGCTGAGGCTGAGGCTGAGGCAGGCTGAGGCTGAGGCAGGCTGAGGCTGAGGCTGAGAGGCTGATGCAGGCTGAGGCTGAGGCAGGCTGAGGCTGAGGCCGAGGCTGAAGGCAGACTGAGGCTGAGGCTGAAGCAGGCTGAGGCTGAGGCTGAGGCAGGCTGAGGCTGAGGCTGAGGCAGGCTGATGCTGAGGCAGGCTGAGGCTGAGGCTGAGGCTGATGCAGGCTGAGGCTGAGGCAGGCTGAGGCTGAGGCCGAGGCTGAAGGCAGACTGAGGCTGAGGCTGAAGCAGGCTGAGGCTGAGGCTGAGGCTGAGGCTGAGGCTGAGGCTGAGGCTGGCTGATGCTGAGGCAGGCTGAGGCTGAGGCAGGCTGAGGCTGAGGCAGGCTGAGGCTGAGGCCGAGGCTGAAGGCAGACTGAGGCTGAGGCTGAAGCAGGCTGAGGCTGAGGCTGAGGCAGGCTGAGGCTGAGGCTGAGGCTGAGGCTGAGGCTGAGGCTGAGCTGCAGGCTGAGGCTGAGGCTGAGGCTGATGCAGGCTGAGGCTGAGGCTGAGGCTGAGGCTGAGGCTGAGGCTGAAGACTGAGGCTGAGGCAGGCTGAGGCAGGCAGGCTGAGGCTGAGGCTGAGGCTGAGCAGGCTGAGGCTGAGGCTGAGGCAGGCTGAGGCTGAGGCTGAGGCAGGCTGATGCTGAGGCAGGCTGAGGCTGAGGCTGAGGCTGATGCAGGCTGAGGCTGAGGCTGAGGCTGAGGCCGAGGCTGAAGGCAGACTGAGGCTGAGGCTGAAGCAGGCTGAGGCTGAGGCTGAGGCTGAGGCTGAGGCTGAGGCTGAGGCTGAGGCAGGCTGAGGCTGAGGCTGAGGCTGAGGCTGAGGCTGAGGCTGAGGCTGAGGCTGAGGCAGGCTGAGGCTGAGGCTGAGGCTGAGGCTGAGGCAGGCTGAGGCTGAGGCTGAGGCTGAGCAGGCTGAGGCTGAGGCTGAGGCTGAGGCTGAGGCAGGCTGATGCTGAGGCAGGCTGAGGCTGAGGCTGAGGCTGATGCAGGCTGAGGCTGAGGCAGGCTGAGGCTGAGGCCGAGGCTGAAGGCAGACTGAGCTGAGGCTGAAGCAGGCTGAGGCTGAGGCTGAGGCAGGCTGAGGCTGAGGCAGGCTGAGGCTGAGGCTGAGGCAGGCTGAGGCTGAGGCTGTGACTGCGACTGCCGCTGCCACTGCGACTGTCATCGCGAATTCGACTACGACTGCGAGAACAGCAGAATTCTACAACTGGATTCTCATCCGAATCTTAAGGGGAATGCTTCCAGATGTGCTCCTACACATCGATGTTAGGTTGCTTTGCCGGGATAATTTTGCAAGGGTTTGGGGGGCCGTTTGGGCGCGTCTTTTGGACCTT